CTATTTGAAGATGCTAAAGCCACCACTTTAATAAAATATGAAGAGATCCTCGCAACGCTCCCTAAAGAAAAAGGTTGGAAAACCAACTATCTCTACCAGTACCAGGGATTTTGTTATGACTCAATTTTTGCTTTAGGAATCATGTGGACTTAAGAACACTTCGTCGCACAACCCAGAGACATTTTGATGTGGACATCGAACCCTATCGAGAAGGAAGTGCTAGGGACCCGTTGTTCTATCCGCTAGGCCCGATCACTCGAGCGAGAGCGAAGGAATTCAAACAAGCTGTCGGCATCATGGTTCAAGATATTTGGAATGGAGACAATCTGAATTCGAAACTTGAAGATTCTGAAGCTCCTTGGCGCAACATGATTACTCTTGGTCCAGTGAATTTCGAAGGAGCTTAGAATTGACGAACTCCAAATTGGCTCAAATTTGGATAGACGCTTGGAAACGGGCCGCTGATCAATACTCATTACTTTAGTAGTGATTGATGACGTTTTTTAGCGATTTGGAGTCGTTTAGATGAACTTTTAGGCCTTTTTCCATTTTTGGACGAATTTTTAGTAATTAAGGTTATTTTTGTAATTTTAATCCTAGTAGGATTAGGATTAGGGTTAGCACCCTATATAAGGTTGCTTATAAATTTCTAAGAGGAGGCAGAATTTTATATATAGAAGTTTTATTCTTGAGTTCTCTTGAGGACTAGATCTTATCAAGGCTCCCTTGTGGCGATCGAATTCAACTTATCGAGCAAGATCGCGAATTCTCTTGTTCGTGGCGTTACAGCGTGGATTGGTTGACACAGGTTTGTCAACAGGTCGCGTTCATACCGAGATTACCAATCACATGTTCGATTGGGGGTCGAGGTCAGCAATTCGTAACTCACAGATCTTCGTAGAACGATCATCTTCCGCACAGATTCATATCATCTGGTATCAGAGCAGCTTCTACAAGGTCTAGTTATCCTACTTTTGCTGCTTTTCATTCATCAATCTAGGGTTTATAGAAACTAGGGTTTATAGAATTAGGGTTTCGTTATTAATCGAATTAGGGTTCTAAATTTGTTCTTGCTGTGATTTCAATTTTGATTTAGGGTTTTCGGTCCTAGTTGTTTTTTTTTTATATTGTACTTGAGTTCGTCAAAAAAAAAAGAAAAAAAAAGCCAAAAAAAAAGCAAAGAAAAAAAATTCAAGAGGACGACTCATTTTTTTTTTATCATTGATAGTTGGACCGAATAGAAAAAAAATTTCAGTAGCAGAAATTGAATATGAATCCGAATCTAGCGAAAATTTGCTGAATTGCTGATTTGAGCGGTATATTGCTGAATTTGATCTTGCTTGGTGGTTTATCGATTGTTGTGAGGAGCTTGTGAGACTGGATTTAAGTCTGAAAAAAAGAGCTTGCTAGAAAGAAACGAGAGGTAAAAGGCAAGAGTGTGTGAGCTTAATTGAGGGAAGAAAAAGCCGAAATTAAGTTAAACACGAGAGGAGTGACAAACACTTTGAGCGGAAAACGTGAGGGAGTGACTAGTGAGATTTCTTTTATCACTAACATTTTCTTGCAGGTTTAAAAAAAAAATGTCAAGCTCAGGCCAGGAAAGTGTGAATCAAAGGGAGGATCACACTCATCCAAGGGATGATGCGATTCTAGCAGGCATCCAGCAATTGAGTTTACAAATTGAAGCACTTAGCAACCGAGTTGCAAGATGTGAGACGAGACTTGAAGATGACCGAGAGCCACCACAAGGGAGGCCACAAAATCAGCGAGAGGAGCCTAGGGCACAACCTAGATGGCGGCGGCAATTTGATGATGATATGAATCTGTGCGGAAGATGATCGTTCTATGAAGATCTGTGAGTTACGAATTGCTGACCTCGACCCACAATCGAACCTGTGATTGGTAATCTCGGTATGAACGCGACATGTTGACGAACCTGTGTCAACCAATCCACGCTATAACGCCACGAACAAGAAAATTCGCGATCTTGCTCGATAAGTTGAATTCGATCGCCACAAGGGAGCCTTGATAAGATCTAGTCCTCAAGAGAACTCAAGAAAAAAACTTCTCTATATAAAATTCTGCCTCCTCTTAGAAATCTATAAGCAACCTTATATAGGATGCTAACCCTAATCATAATCCTACTAGGATTAAAATTACAAAAATAACCTTAATTACTAAAAATTCGTCCAAAAATGAAAAAAGGCCTAAAAGTTCATCTAAACGATTCCAAATCGCTAAAAAACGTCATCACTCACTACTAAAGTAGTGTGTATTGATCAGCGGCCCGTTTCCAAGCGTCCATCCAAATTTGAGCCAATTCGGAGTTCGTCAATTCTAAGCTCCTTCGGAATTCGCTGGACCAAGAGTAATCATGTTGCGCCAAGGAGCTTCAGAATCTTCAAGTTTCGAATCCAGATTATCTCCATTCCAAAAATCTTGAACCATGATGCCGACAGCTTGTTTGAATTCCTTCGCTCTCGCTCTAGTGATCGGGCCTAGCGGATAGAACAACGGGTCCCTAGCACCTTTTCTTCGATAGGGTTCGATGTTCACATCATTCTGTTAAAGGATAAGCTGACTAATGCTCCTTTATTATCTTTACCGAATTTTAGTACTACTTTTGAGATAGAATGCGATGCTTCTGGTACGGGAATTGGAGCTGTGTTGATGCAAGGAGGACGTCCCATAGCGTATTTTAGCGAGAAGTTAAGCAGAACGACATTGAATTATCCGACTTACGATAAGGAGATGTATGCTTTGGTGCGAGCTTTGGAGACTTGGCAACATTACTTGTGACCAAAGGAGTTTGTGATCTATACCGACCACGAGACCTTAAAGTACTTGAGAGGGCAGCAAAAGTTGAACAAAAGACATGCCAAATGGATGGAGTTCATTGAGACTTTTCCATATGTAATCAAGTACAAAAAAGGTAAGGACAATGTGGTAGCTGATGCACTTTCTCGAAGGTACGCAATTCTAACTACTCTAGGAGCAAGTGTCTAGGATTCGAGCATATCAAAGGTTTATACGCTGACGATGATGATTTTGGAAGAGTATTTGAAGCTTGTGAGCATGCTGCGCTTGAAAAGTTTTATAGGCATGATGGATATCTCTTTCGTGAAAATAAGTTGTGTTTGCCTAGATGCTCTTTGCGCGAGTTGTTAGTGCGAGAGGCACATAGTGGTGGTTTAATGGGGCATTTTGGAATCAATAAGACTTATGAAGTGCTGCATTAACATTTTTTTTTGCCACACATGAAACGAGATGTCACACGAGTTTGCGGAAGATGTATCGTATGTAAGCAGGCTAAGTCTACGATTAAACCACATGGTTTGTATACACCTTTGCCTATCCCGACGCATCCTTGGGTTGATATCTCTATGGATTTTGTGTTAGGATTGCCTAGGTCTAAGCATGGCAAGGATTCTATTTTTGTGATTGTTGATCGATTTTCAAAGATGGCTCATTTTATACCTTGTCATAAATCTGATGATGCATCAAATGTTGCTAAATTGTTCTTTCGTGAGGTTGTGCGTTTGCATGGCATGCCTAGGTCCATTGTTTCTGATCGAGATACTAAATTTCTAAGCTACTTTTGGAAGACATTGTGGAAGAAGTTAGGTACACAACTTTTATTCTCTACTACTTGTCATCCACAAACTGATGGTCAAATTGAAGTAGTTAATAGGACTTTAGGGACATTGTTGCGTGCTATCATTAAAAAGAACATTAAGTCTTTGGAAGATTGTTTACCGCATGTTGAGTTTGCTTATAATAGGAGCGTGCATTCTGCTACTAAATTCACACCGTTTGAGGTTGTCTATGGTTTTAATCCCTTGACTCCGTTAGATTTAACCCATTTGCCTGTTGCTGAGCGTGTGTATTTAGATGGTGCTAAGAAAGCTGAATTTGTGAAGACTTTGCATGAGAAGACGCGGCTGAATATTGAGCTTAAGACAGAGCAGTATGCAAAGCAAGCCAACAAAGGGCGCAAGAAAGTAGTGTTTGAGTCCGGCGATTGGGTTTGGGTTCATATGCGCACAGAGCGTTTCCCCAAACAGCGACACTCTAAATTGCTACCGCGAGGGGATGGACCATTTATGGTGTTGGAGAGAGTCAACGATAATGCTTACAAGCTTGACCTTCCAGGTGAGTATGGTATTAGTGCTACTTTTAATATTTCTGATTTGACTCTTTTTTATGCAGACGCTGATTTGAGGGCAAATCCTTTGCACGGGGGAGGGAATGATGTGGACATCGAACCCTATCGAGGAGGAGGTGCTAAGAACCCGTTGTTCTATCCGCTAAGCCCGATCACTCGAGCGAGAGCGAAGGAATTCAAATAAGCTGTCGGCATCATGGTTCAAGATATTTGGAATGGAGACAATCTGGATTCGAAACTTGAAGATTCTGAAGCTCCTTGGCGCAACATGATTACTCTTGGTCCAGCGAATTCCGAAGGAGCTTAGAATTGACGAACTCCGAATTGGCTCAAATTTGGATGGACGCTTGGAAACGGGCCGCTGATCAATACTCACTACTTTAGTAGTGATTGATGACGTTTTTTAGCGATTTGGAGTCGTTTAGATGAACTTTTAGGCCTTTTTCCATTTTTGGACGAATTTTTAGTAATTAAGGTTATTTTTGTAATTTTAATCCTAGTAGGATTAGGATTAGGGTTAGCACCCTATATAAGGTTGCTTATAAATTTCTAAGAGGAGGCAGAATTTTATATAGAGAATTTTTTTCTTGAGTTCTCTTTAGGACTAAATCTTATCAAGGCTCCCTTGTGGTGATCGAATTCAACTTATCGAGCAAGATCGCGAATTCTCTTGTTCGTGGCGTTATAGCGTGGATTGGTTAACACAGGTTCGTCAACAGGTCGCGTTCATACCGAGATTACCAATCACAGGTTCGATTGGGGGTCGAGGTCAGCAATTCGTAACTCACAGATCTTCGTAGAACGATCATCTTCCGCACAGATTCATATCACATTTGCTTGGCCACCTTCCCATAATGTGGCACGATGTGGCAGGCTTTAATCTATGCCATAGTTAGAGCACACTAATTCGATCCCTTATCACACCCTTTGCTCAGAACGAGTCCTCATATTTACGTGCTTGTCTTAGAATTCCAAGCATATGAGAATGACCTTGTTGCTAGTTTGAATGCCATTCCCTCTCCAAAACTACTTTCAACTCAGATCTCTTACACTGCACAGCCGAATTCCATCAGTAAGAGTGGTTCAAAGATAGTTTATGCAGCTAGAAATGCTGGTGATGTTCTCGTCTCTTATTGGATTTTCCTAGCAGAGAAGGTAAAGATAGGAGAGAGAATCAATTTGTTTACAAGAGGTGTTTGAGAAATTCTGCAGAAGGGTTTCTCTTGCAGGACCCTTTTGGGATCATGTGTTGGGATATTACAGAACAAGTCTAGAGGAACCAAAGAAAGTGCTTTTCTTCCATTATGAAGATGTAAAGAGAGACACTTGAGGCCATGTGAAGTTATTGGCTGAGTTCTTGGGTTTTCCATTTTCAAAGGAAGAAGAAAGAAAGAGAGTAGTTCGGGAGATAATAAAACTCTACAGTCTCAAGAATCTGAGGAGCTTAGAAGCCAACAAGAACGGAACCTTTAGCATGAACTCCACTTATGAGGAGCTAAGTGTTGGATATGATGCATTCTTCAGAAGAGGCAAGGTGGGTGATAGCAAGAACTGCTTGACAGCTGAGATGATTCAGCATCTCAACTGAATCACAATGCAGAAATTGGGTCGTTAAGATTTGAAATTATATAGATCAGCAGCCCAAAGTAGAGGAGAAGAGACGTTGCAGCAACTGCAAGCGTCTTAAAAATTCCATACAAGCCTCTAGTGATAAGGCTTTATCTTCGCTTTGCTTGGGATGTACTTCCAATAACATGCTGCGGAGGATTTGCCCATACCTTTCCAAGTTAATTTTAATCTATTTTTTTATGGATAATTAATTGTATACTATCATTATCGCATGTATCTCCCTCTATCAATCTGGCTAGTTTTCTCTCTTTTTTGGCTCGGACCGGCTGATCATTGCGACACCGCTAAATTTTTTCAATCTCCATAGAGGATTAATTCACGGCACACACATATTAAGGTTTCTTATTAGGTCCACTAGCGGAGTAAGAAATTGTTTACACATTAACCATGGGATAGTTGACATGTGGAAAGATATGGTCGCACAAGTAGCTCCAAACACACGCTATTAATCCAACGGTGAATGTGCAAGGATATTTTTATATTACCGGTGGACCAAGGGATAATTCATATATTAAACATAGCAACAGTAATATCCAGAGTTATTGGCATGCTTAATTACCTGTAGGACAAGAAGAACAAGTTCTCCGAGACGGATGAGAGAAAGACATTCGTAAAGGGAGCAATAAGTTCTCAATCTTCATCTTCATCTCCACATAGAGCAAAAGATCTTCACTTCAAGTCCTCCAGCCTGCTATGAACCCACAAGCATGAACCAGATTCAGTGCAAATGGAAGGAGCTCTTGATAGTTCAAGAACGTCCAATGGCTTTATATTGTAGACAAGGACCAGACTTGGCTAATAACCCCTCACGGAAGCCTTTACGCATTCCACTTCACTTAAACAATTCATCTGGTGCAGATTTACAATGACAATAGATTAAGCTCCATTGACAAATTCCCACCGAATGTATCCTGGGAAAAAAGAGGTGGATGCAAGAGCAAGCACTTTCTGCCATCAGCTGTAACGGAGGTATCACCAGTGATCCCTGCAGGAACACGAGCCTCCAGCAAAATGATGGAACTGATTTCTATCTCGAAGGCTGATCTCCCTCTTATAGACCAATGAAACTAGCTTAAAGAAGACATGGCAGTCTTGACAAACTCTAAGATTCTTGACTATTCTTAGAGTGGATCGAGGAGGAGATTTCATAAGGCCAAATGCCAAAGCAATTTTCTCGCTGTGAAATGCAACGGAACTTTCCTTTTCCTCTTCCTCAATGTCATACAAGGCCAAGCCAGTGTTTGCAGCATAACCAACCTGCTTCAGTTCCTTCCTTATGTCATCTAACAAGTCACGCACCTCTGGTTTTAGACAATCCGATGCAATGAACTCATAAATTGCATTCCCAATTTCAATTGAGCTGCATCCAGCCACTTTGGGAATTGCTTTTTGGTTCATCATTGCCCTCAATTGTGCTATTTCATCCCACATAGAATCCTGAGCATATATATTCGAAAGCAAAACATAATTGTCCGCATTAGTAGGCTCCAACTCAAGAAGCTTCCTCGCTGCATACCTGCCCAACGGAACATTCCGATGAGTTCGGCAAGCACCTAGCAGAGTCCTCCAAATGATTGGATCTGGTTTCAAGTCCATATTCTGGATTAGATGTAGAGCCTCACTAAACAATCCAGTTTGACCAAGTAAATCTACCATACATCCATAATGCTCAAGTCCCGGTCGCAATCCAAACTCCTCCTTCATGATCCTGAAGTACCTCTTCCCCTCATCAACAAGACCCTCGTGACAACAAGCGCACAATATGCCCAAAAATGTGACACCATCAGGCTTCAGGTTCTCCATTACCATCCTAGAGAAAGCCTGTAAAGCAGCTTCACCACGTCCATTCATGGCGAAGCCTGAAATCAAGGCATTCCATGTATAGACATTTTTTACTCTCGTTGCCATAAATACCTTCTCCATCTCCGTTACAGCTCCACATTTGGCATACATGTCCACGAGTGCAGTACCCAGAAACTCATTCAACTTTAATCCGTGGCAGTCGATATACTCATGAACCCACTTTCCGAGGCCCAAAGCCCCCAAGTGAGCGCAAGCAGATAAAACCCCCACCATGGTGACCTCGGTCGGTTCCACCCCATCAGCCTGCATCTCCCTAAACAAATCGAGAGCTTCCGCGAATTTCCTATTATGGGCGTGACCAGTTATCAGCGCATTCCAAGAAACAGAATTCCTCTCACCCATCTCATCAAACACCTTACGGGCATCCCCAATCAACGAACAACCACTATAGAAATTGACGAGCGAAGTACCCACGTAAACATCGCCATCCAAGTTCGCCTTGGCCGCATAAGCGTGCACGGATCTCCCCATCTCTCGGAGGCACAACCGCGCGACGGACTTGAGGACCGGGGCGAAGGTGAAAGAATCGGGACGCGCGCCGACTCTCTGCATCTGGATGAACACGAACACCGAATGGAGGTGCTTGCCCTGGCCCGTGCAACGTCTGATCAAGTGCCTGCACAGCTCGCTGCCGACCGACTCGCCGAACTGGAGGAACAGAGGAGAAGACGAGCCCCACCAGTCCGAACGGACGCGGCCCTCGACGAGGCTCATCAGAGAGGCCTGGACGACGTGCCAAGACGGCGCCGGGCTGGCCCTGGCTCGAGCCGCTGGCGGCTCCGCCGGGAGGGCGCTCTCGCATCCGGGCGCTCGCGACCGGGTCTCCGGCGGAGCCGACGCGGAGCGGTAAGCGCGAGCCGGCGAGCCGCGAGTTCGCGCGACGGCGGTCGCCGCCGCCGGGCGGCGGAGCGGGAGAGCTCGGGAGGTTCTTGGGATTAGGCTGAGGGGCCTCTTCATGCTCGCGGCGGCGGTTCAACGTTTCGACAGCATTCTTGCGGTTGCACGCTTTGTGTTTGTATATATTACCGTTACTAACTTCTGCGTTACAGGAGGAGAGACGAGAAAAGAAAAGAAAACCAAAACTCATTTCCCTTCCAAAAAAAAGGAGGAAAAAATTCATGCTCATGACAGTATACGATTACGAGAATTGAAATAGCTTCTTGAAATATAGACACCCGATGATCCTCGGCGAGCTAATGAGCCGCGGCTCGGGAGGAACGGAGCACGTTATTGCGACTCGAATCGAGGCCTCTCGGGAAACGGGCGACGGATGGCCGGTTCTTGAACCGAATTTAGAATTGCTGAAACACTCGGACACCGCTACACATTCGATGCTCGGTGTTCGCCCTTTTACCGGCTGGTTTCGGTTCGATTCGGGTCGGGTTCGGTTAGCCTTTGTTTCGGCTTCGGTGATCATGTTTTCATTGGTTTGGTTCACTGTATGATCATCTTTGTATTGATATCAAAACCGATGTTTCCTGTGTACAAGAAGAATGTGATCAGACCAAAACCAAGAAAGACAGAAAAACATTTTCCTAACCGCTAATGGACGTTTGTCTCCGACTACAACACGCTCGGAAAAGATTTTGAATCAGGTGGTGAAGAGGAATGAGAACGGTTGGACTGACGGCTTGATGCCCTGAACAGCATGCCCAGCACCTCCTTCATGTTCGGCCTGGCCTGCGGCGACTCGGCCGTGCACCGCGTCCCGACCGTCAGCAGCTCGCACATCTCCTCGGCGCCCTCCGCCAGCCCGGACCCCATGAGCGCGACGGGGATGGCGGACCGGCGCCCGCTCCCCATGACCCTCTTCGTCCACTCCACCAGGCACTCCTCCCCACCGTCCACGGCCCGCCTCCCGGTGGCCAGCTCCATTATGAGTACCCCGAAGCTGTACACGTCGCCCTTGGTCGTGGCCTTCCACGTCTGCCCGTACTCGGGCGCCACGTAGCCGATCGTGCCGGCCACCATCGTGCTGACGTGGCTGTCCCCAACGTCCACGACCCGAGCCAGGCCGAAGTCCGTCACGTGGGCCGTCCCGCCCTTGTCGAGCAGCACATTGCTCGCCTTTACGTCGCGGTGCACTATCGGAGGGTAGCATTCGTGGTGCAGGAACACCAGGGCGCGGGCCACGTCGACCGCCGCGCTCATCCGCCTCTGCCATGTCATGTGCACTCGATCCGGGATGAGATCCTCCAAGCTCCCTCCCTCCATGTACTGGTAGACTAGTATCTTCTCCGACCGGTGGAGGCACCAGCCGTAGAGCGGCACGAGATTCGGGTGCGGCCAATCGAAGCAGTCCCCGCACAAGACCTCCATCTCGGCTTGGAACCCTTTCTCTCCCTCAATGCCTTCACTTTGGAGCTTCTTCACGGCCACCTCTCTCCCATCCGGCAGCACGCCTCGGTAGACCGTCCCGAAACCGCCCTTCCCGATTACTTTCTCGTCCGAAAAATTGCTCGTCGCCTTCAAGATGTCGCCGTAAGTAAATGCTCTCTTAACTAATTGGATCACCGGAACTGACTCGGACAACCATGGGGACGAACTGCTCGAGCTCGATCCGAATTTGCGGCGGTACTTCTTTTCTTCCAGCAGGTATTCGGGTAAGTCGAGCGGGCTCTTGACCGACGAGAAGAGTATGAATGATAAGATCCCAAATGCCAAGAAAGTGAGAACCAGACCAAAGAGTACCAGAAAGACCCTGAACTTCGGAGGCTTCTTCGGGCCTGGTCTCGTGTTATTTACGGACGAATGGGCAGATTGATTAGGGAAAGACGAAAGGATCAAGAGAGGGTCGCCGAGGAAGGACTCTTTCTCAAACGTGCCAAACTGCCCGGTCGCGGGGATCACGCCGGATATCATTGGATTGTAGGAAACATTGAACTTGCTCAGCTCAGTCAACGTGTTCAGGCTCGCCGGGAAAGTGCCCGAGAAATTGTTGTAGGACAAGTCGAGACTCTGGAGGCACTTGATCTCGCCTATTTCCCACGGGATTTGCCCGGAGAACCTGTTTTCGGAAATGTTCAGAACCACCAGGGGCAATTCTCGTATTTCCCGAGGGAGCTTCCCAGAAAAGTCATTGACGCCGAGGTTCAACATGCTAAAGTTGCGCATCTTGCCGATATCAGAAGGAATCTCACCGGAGAGCACGTTCTGACTGAGCTGAACATAACCCGATATCTGATACGTCCTGACCGATGTACCGGGAGCGCATATCGGGAATAGCCCGGCTCCTTTGAGCAATTGGTCCCATATGTTGTGACATGTTTTCCTGGTAAGAATGGCGTACACGAAACTGAAAGGAGGATAATCTGCAGGAATCCATCTCTTCATCGCTAAGCACTCGCCCGAGCCAGGTACGATCCTGTCACTTAGCTGGTTCGATTCAAAAGTAGCCATCGGGTTGTGGCCAATATTTGATAGCTCCGGTGGTATATGTCCAGAGAGCTTGTTGTTAGCCAGGTTTAACCATAACAAGCTAGAGCAGTTCCCGATTTCTGGCGGAATCTCGCCTCCAAGCTGATTATTCGCCAGCATCAACCACAAAAGAGAGCTCAACTTTCCAAGGCTCGAGGGGATCGTCCCAGTCAGTTCATTGGAGGAGAGATCGAGTGCCTGGAGGCGCGCAAAGTCACCATACTCCAAGGGTATGCTTCCGTTGAATTGGTTGAAAGCGAGATACAAGTATTTCAAACTCGGCATTCGCGAAAATTCAACAGGCAGCGGACCAGATAAATTGTTGACGCTCAGATCTAATCTGACAATGTTCGACAGATTAAGAATACCAGACGAATACAATCCACCAGTGTAGGAATTTGTGTGCAGTACTAGACGCTTGACCTGTGTGAACTTCCCCAGAGTCTCTTGTATTTCACCCCCAAAGTTATTCCTGCTCAAGTCCAAAATAGCCAAGCTCTTCAAGTCGAGCAGAGAATCGGGAATATTTCTGGAAAAGCTGTTGTTTCCTAGAAACAAAGCTTTGAGACCGGCAATCGACCCTATTTCCTGTGGAATTTGGCCCGTGAATTTGTTTCCCCAAAGATGCAATATGACCAAGTTCCGGCAGTTCGAAATTTGTCCCGGAAACTGCCCTGAGAAATTATTTCCGGATAAATCCAATACTTCTAAAGTGCAATTCTCCGTAAAACTCGATGCAGGGATACTTCCGCTCAAAAAATTGTCCGAAATAAAGAACTGCCAAAGCCTTCCAAACCATTTCCATATGTGCCCGCTGAAATTATTCATGCTCAAATCAAGATACCGCAACTTATAGCACTGATTAAAGACATCCTCGATGCTACCAGTGAGATTATTCTCCGAAATGTTCAGAACCACCAAGCTGTTGCAAATTGCAGGAAAACTTGTCTGAATCCCGCCACCAATGCGATTCTTCGATAAATCAAGTGTCTCCAGGCTGCTCAAACCAGTCAAGTTCAGTTCGCCGCCGAGGATGTTGTGCGATAAGTTGAGGTACACAAGTCTGTTGCAGCAGCTCAAATCAGCTGGAATCTGCCCGCTGAGGGTGTTCTTCGAGAGATCAAGATGAGAGAGCTCTGTCAAGGCGGAGAAATTCGAGAACAAGGTATTCGAGATGCCGTTCTCGGAGAGGTTCACCCCAGTGACCCTCGTCCTATTGTAATTGCACATGATGCCCTCCCAATCACATGGGCTTGAGCTCTCAGGATTCCATTGAGAGTAGTGACCTCTGTTCACCGGATTGTGCTCTTCAAGGAATGATTTCAGATCCAACAGCACTGCTCTGTCCGTGTCCAGAGAGTTTCCAAGAACAACACTAACTGCTTTTTAACAGAGAACAAGAATGCGGTAAATACTCAATACAGCATCATCCTTGGGAAACGAAAGAAAAGAGTTTTTTCTATTCCAATCTGCGAATTTCGAAGGAAGCAATGTGAAAACGCGGGGAATTCAGAGGAAATTCATCACTGGGATTTTCAAGAATTCCTAAACCCACATGGTGTATGAGCCTAAATCCCGAATTTTACGATAACATGAAGCATGACAGTTCAAGAATCCGGAAGAGTTCGAAAGAATTACCTCCAAGAAACACCAAGAAAGCAAACAGGATGATCCGCCACGGATCAGTTTCCTCCTCTAACATGATAATTACCGGCAATCTCTCTTCTCCTTCTTATTCTTCAGCTCCTTCTTCTTCTTCTTCTTGCTTGAGCTATACAGTTGTGATCAGGTGCAAGAATCTAGTCGCAAACATGCTGAAGGCGAATAGACGGAAAGAATCGATCTCGAGGATGTTTCCGTTTCAATTCAATATTTGTGTAAAGTCGAAAATATTCGAATTGCCGTTGAAGCCCAGCGCCTGGATGTAGACCAAAAGGCACCAAATCTTGGAGCGAGTGCACGTTAGCTTCTTCGAATTCTTGTTTTCTTTAATCCGGGTAACATAAACTAAGTTTTTTTTTTAATATATAAATCAACACAAAACAGTGGTCAATCTCTCATGGTATTAGTGAAGAAAGAATGCAGGGGAGAGAAAAAAGAAAAGATTTTGGCAAGGTAGGAGCTGTTGAGCCGCCCATGTTGACCAGATTCTTGATCAAGGCTTTGACACAGCAACGTGTTATTTTCCTTCCTGGTGGTTGTGTGGATTCATTCTAGAAATGGGTTTGTTTTCTTTAAGGCTGTCTGAAATCACGAAAAGTCTTTGTGCTGTGCTAAAAATGGAGAAAGAGGAAAAAGGCAGAAAAAGGAAAAAACACAATCAGGGGGTGCTGGTTCATGAGTTTGCTCAGAAAGTACAATCTAAACTAAAGAGGACAATTTGCATTTGAAGACTTCCAGTCCAGGCCCCCTTCAGAAAAAGCCACCCTCCCCCGTGGTTTTAGAATTTGCCATTACCATGAATCAAACATTGAAAAAAAGTTAGGCACTATTAACTCCGTGTAATAGTGCGCGAGTAAAAATCCGTCGAATAGATAAACGACGGCCATCGGAACCGCGAAAACTCATCGGGTATCTTTCCTTGTCGTTTCTTTTATCGGTAAAATCCAGGATGGTTCTTCCGAACCGGCGAAATTGTTAGTTTGTTTTCGTTGATTTTATAGGGGTTTTTTTTTTTTTTTTTGGACTGATTCAGCAGAGCCAACATCAAGTGAAATGCAGAAAGTCCAAAAATCCCATGTCAGGAATGGATCTGGGAGTCAATCAATCCGCTTTGGTTTACAAGTAATTGCAGCAAGATCAACACCACACAAAAATAAGCAGGTAGGACAACTATGAGTGGAAACAGAACAATACACCCAGAGAAACAGGACCTGATGATGATGTTCACCCCCAAGATTTCCTGGTTTTCACGAGGCAGGGCCCCTGACAAAACAAAACCAAACCGGAGTTGCCTTTGTCTGCACAGGAACATGGGCACGTGTCTGCACCTGTAGCGCAGGAGAGGACAAGGAGGGAGTTGGTTTGTCGCCGTTTTCATGGTCAAAGGATACGTTAAACAAATCAAAGCAAGCATTAGATGCCAATTTGAGTCAATGGCTGACCTGGATTTTCTGATTTCTTACTGATACATTCCCTAATTTTTTAGTTTCTTTTTCCTTTTCTTCCCCATTTTTATTAACTCTCACACCCTTTATTCCCTTTTATTTACATTTTGGGACCGCACTTGTGCCCCCCACCCACTAGTAGCTAGCTAGCTCCCAAATTGCTACTTTGACATATTAGCCCCCAATTAAACTCATTACATAAACAATTAGTGATCTAGTCATACAGCATCATGTGGACCTTGAACTTGATTGAAGAGCGTTGTTTCAATGATGAAATGATGGATATTCCGATTTGAAGTTTCTGTCTCACGGCATGTCGATCTCGGCACCCCGTTTCTCCGAAAAATTCAAGAATTTTCTTGAAGATGAGCACCTTTTCTTTCGGATTGGCCGCGGCAGGATTGAGAATATTTTTGAGCTGTCCATTTCTCACGGTCGCATCGAAGGTTTGGGTACTTTGTGCATATCCACACAAAACGGACAAAAAGGCGGCGCATGATGTAGCCTTCGGTTCACGTTCTTGTAATTAGGTTGGAGGCGTGTTCGCCCTCGAATGTCGTGTTTGCTTTTATACTCGGTTGGGACGGAGTGATTAGGATGGAATAGAAAGGATCGGGATGATGATCTCGGGAGAGAAAAGAAAGGAAAGGAAAGGAAAGGAAGCGACCTTATTTTGTCATTGTTATGGTATTTCCGAAAGAAATTAAATAAAATGAAGAGAGTCCAGTCATTTCATGCTTGGTTAAAGAATAGAAAAGAGTGGAAAGGAATGCAGTCGTATCTTTATTGCTATTTTGTCCCTGTATTTCTTCATGGGCAAAATTAATGAAAATTAGCTTTGTAAATTATCTCATGCTATAGCTTACTCATGAAAAATGATATAGCAGCATTACAAATTCACTTTACTCATCGAAAGAGGACAACAAAATAGGTTTTGGTGAATGTTTCAGGACATAATATAAATGTATACACACACGTACATAAACTACTTTAAATCTTACATTGCATACACATCTTTTGTGAATTTGCTTTTACCTCTAGCCACACATCACATCGTCACATTTGCTCTCAGGATAATCCTGCATAAAATCCTAAGCTTTTTTCCCCGTGAACTCTAATATCTCAAAACAAAAAAAACAAAAATTTACGTCTCACCAATATTCAAACTCGTACCATTGACCCAAAAGTACTTTCCGTCCACATGGCCATTAGAAATTCCGCATGATTGGCATGTATGGTCATTTGACATCCAACGAGGCTGCTTTTGGTCCCGTGGCAATGCACGTCCATTGCCACCTCAAATTCGTTTATTTGGTGTCGTTCACGAAAGCTGCCACGTCGGATTTGTGATGGACATCATGGACAGAAGTTTAACAAATGGTATTTTTAGGTCAAAAAATTAAGTTCGGGGTACCAGTGAGACGATTTTTTTCTTTTTTGGTATTAGTATCCAAGTCGAGAATTTTTTATGGGATTATCGTTTACCCTCAATTTGGTATATTGTTTGTCCTCTTGCAATCGAGGGTGACATCTTAGGTGGCCTAATTTCTAAAAACCACGCTCCACGTCAGCTTCAGATAGGACTCGTTTGATCTTATCGCCAAAAGCGTGTGTGCAATCGAATGCAAATGAGGGACCGCTTTTGCAATTTTCGAAAAGTTTAAGGGCCTAATTCAGTTTAGTTTGGGGACCAAATTGACAAGTGCCGTTGCACGGACCGGACCGACAACAACTTCAAGAAAGCAGACAAGAAGGGAAAAATAAGAAAAAATCATAAACCCTAAGTTATATACTATAATGACCATATTAAATAATTACTCTATACTTAATAATTAGTTTTATTTAATCTTCAAAGAATTGATTGTGTACGACATCAAAATGAACAGCCCAATATAAACTATAGAATTTTCCTTATTTATTTGCTTAATTTAGTGACCAAATGATACTCGTCAACGAAATCCTTATGGGTCGTATATGTATATGTATGAAACGGCACGGTATTTCCACGGAAAAAGTCAAAGTATGAGCAACATTTGCGGAGCTTAAGCATTTTTTTCCTATGTTGGACTTCTTTGGTAACGAAGCTTCTAGTAGCTGGTCAAATCAACTCGACACTATTAAACCGATTCGCAAGTGTGTCTGAGCGACCTTCCCTGAAAGATACTCCAAGTGCAAATTTAGACCTAAATGTTGAAACCATGGAATGGGAAAATTGTCCATAAATGTCTAAACCTACTGTATGGAAAACAATTCAGTCCTAAACCTTTCAATTGTGCCAATTTAGCCCTAAACATTTTGATGATTTACCAGTTTAGTCCTAAACATTTTGACAATTTACCAATATAGTCCATCCATCCAAATATCCAAATAATAGGTTTAGAACTAAACTGGCAAAGTTCGTGACTAAATCGACATAAAAAAAAAGGTTCGGGACTAAATTGGCAAATCGTCAAAAAGTTTATGACTAAATCGGCACAAATCGAAAGATTCGGAACTGAATTAGATGTCGTACAATAGGTTTATGACTTTTTGGATAACTATCCCGCCGAAATCATGATGGCCGTAGCTAGTCAAAAATCCAAGTTGGACCAGCAAGAAAAGCCCATTATTCCAAATGGGGAGTTTCATTCCACTAAAACTGTTTAATTAAAAGCAAATGGCCGGTCGTGAGATCAGATCATGGGATTAAGAAACTGCTTGAGCGATGATGATGCATCAGAGGAAAGGTTTCTTGGGGTCAGCAATTGCTGCTGCTGCTCCGTGTCTCTTCGCTGTCTTGGCCGACAAGACAAGCCCCATTGAAAATTCAGATGTTGAACCGATGTGGACCGTGCATCTAGATTGGTCCAAGAATTCGCACCTCGTGTGGGAAATTGCAGTGTTTGACCGCATCAACACGAGAAAGAAGTGCGAGAAAAACGACGGAGAGAGAGAGAGAGAGAGAGAGAGGACCCTCTCTTTTGGGGCAATTCACAACACTGTTGGGAAACTCGTGAAGAACGAGCTGATGATGAGCATGGTCTGAATTTGAAAACTAGCACCCCTCTCTTGGTGAGAAGAGGGTTTCGGTTCTCTCTCTCTCTCTCTGAGTAAGTCGGTCTACACAAGCGAAGTGTCGTGATTTTTCAAGGAAGGAAAAGTGTGAAAAGCGAGAAGACTTGATGAGCACGGGACGATTGACTTGGATGGACAGGGGGAACGTCCTGTTTCGAGATCATCTGGAGATTTTTTGCCTTCTCGAGGTCCCTCTAGTCTTGCCTCCTCCCGACCCTTGGCCCCGGGACCTGTGTTCTCTAGGGCCGTCAAAAAAGCCCCGCCCGACCTGGAAATTTAGGGCCTTTTCGGATCGGGTCTCTTCTGGTTAGGGTAAGAGCTCTAAATTTCGAATATCATCCATGTTTCGTGTTGGGCCGGGGTGGGTCCGACTTTTTTGATAGTCCTGCCCGTGACTTTAAAAAAATCCCGTTCACCCCCCCGAGGGACCCAGGGTTCCGCAACCAGCTACCCAGGTCCGGCAATTGAAGGCCCGTGGCGGCCACCATCCTATCGAAAGAAGGCTCTATAAATTTTCTTGCTCGTGAAAACATTTTCCATTGCCTTTTCGGTCACGCCAAACATTAAAAAAATGAGAAATTCTCCGCAAAAAAAAATGACCCTTTTATGGACTGGGTATGGGCCGCACAAGAGACGAGTTACGGAGATGCTCGGCCTAAATCTAATCAATTGGGCCTACAAGTTCTTCACCGAGTCCATTCGACTCGGTGGGAACTCAGTAAAGCCTATGTGAAATTGAAAAATTCAGATGACAAAAAAGACCGAGTCTAAGCCCGAGTCACCGACCAAAACCCACCATAAGATACCTGTGAGTGTTAGGCGCTAGAATCATAAGATCTACAGAACAAGATTAGAAGCTTTTAACTTGCGCAATCGAAATACCGAACGCGCAATTTGTTCGATAAACGGATCGAGTTCCCATCAGTTTTAAGTTCGAGTTCAACTCTCCCTCGCGTCCCGGTTTTTCTCACCTTATCGCCAAAATTCGCAATACCCGGCACCCACCGTCTCCGGCGGTCGAACATATGACACCAAACGAACCATAAACTACCTCTCTGTTCTCTTCCTCTTCAGCAATTTGCAAATGTTTTTTCCTTGAGTTTTGGTCTCCTCTGTACGTTGGCATAGTAAAATTTGGCACATGCCTATCCTCTTCATCAAGGCATCATCGTATCTAGCATAACAACGATGTCTCCATCGTATCTCCAGCTACATGTACACCAAGAACATGGCGCGATTCGCAAAACCCATGCTCACCCTTTAAAGAGGGGATCATGACTCCGCGACTCCAAGACCACGACACTCTCGAGACCTCGTCGTTGAAACGGGAAATAAATCGTACAAGCAATTATAAGCATCTACTTTTTCAGAAAAAATGTTGATAATGAAGTTTTGGCATAGGTACCCATACCAGATACTCACACCTGCAGCACTCATCTGCTATAACCGGTACACCTATAATTCCCTTCGTAACTTTGATTCTGACTGAACTTTGGTGACTTTCCGACGCTAGAATTTCATGTTAAGAATCTTGAAAAGAGGAGTATGCGAAGCCGGAGTTCTATCGATCATGGGAGGGCTGAACTCTCTCGAGATTGATTCCTCCCTAAGCGCAGCCAATGCGGCCTTCCTCCTCTGCTTCTGTTCCCGCCACCTCCGGAGCTGATCCTCCAGTGCTGCTTTGGCATTCTCGGCAGCCTCCGCACGGCTGGCCGCCTGCTCGGCCCGAGTCCTGAACTGGCCGATCCTTGCGCTTGCCGCCTCGAGCTCTCTCTTCAGGGTCTCCACCTCTTGCTTGCTTCCCCATGCAATGTACTGATTCGAGTCTTCCGCCGACGACATATGCATTTCATCTGCCTTCTTTGCCAGGGCAAGTAAGAACTCGTACTCTTCCAGCGAAATTGTTATGCTGGAGCTGTTCTCGTCTCCTAAACCTTCTTCCACTTTGCTCGATTCGTTTTCGAATATTTCCTCATCATGAGCAGTGATTTCTACTGGGGCGGTGGCAAACGTGAAGCTCTCAGACTCCTCAGATGCCTTATCGGCTTCTTCCTTTAACCTCTGGTATTCTTTCTTGGCTTCGCCCGCTTCCAGCGCTAGCTGCTGTACTGCAAGATAAAGCCCTGATTTAACACTATCCGCTCTAACTTCAGCTGCCTCTGCGGCTGCGACTTTTGACCGGGCTTTGTGAAGCTCGGAATTCAGCAATGCCAGTTCGACCTGCGCTTCAGTCTCTTTTTCCTTCATCTCACTCAACTCAGCCTCCGCATTCTGCAAATCTTCAGTAAGAGTTTCAAGATCGCAGCTCATGTGGGCAAGCCTTTCATTCGCAGTTTTCATTTCGTACTTCAACTGACTCAATTCCATCTCAAGCACTTCAATGTAAACAGCTTGGTCCGAGACATCCCTTGTCTTCACTTCCAAATCCAATTTCCACTTCTCCAAATCGGTCGTGGCATCAGAAGTGGCCTTCTCAGATGAATCGAGCATCTCGTGCACATCCCTGAGATCAGATTGTAACGACTCAACGTACGCGGACTTAGCCAGGAGCTGGTTCTCCAATTCCTCGATCATCCCCAGTTGATTTTTCAGATTGTTCAACTGCTCCTGCATTTGAACCACCGCATCTGTAGCTAAATCTATCTCACCATCTTTCTGATAAATTATGTCACATTTTTCTTTTTCAGCTTCCATAGTGGCCTGCTTTGACATAAGGAGAGCTTCATTGAGCTCCACTACATGCTTTCGGAGTACCTCAACCTTTCCCTTCTCTATTTGAATATCAGCTTCCAGCTCCTCCGTTCGCGTTAGAGCCTTCAGCCTTGCCTCTCTTTCAACGGCAAGCTCAGTCTCCATCCCAAGCAACTCGACTTGGGCAGACTTCAGCTCGTTTAAGACGTGAGAAAGCTGTTCGCGGATCTTCCCGGTTTCCGATAGCTGATCAGCCATTTCTTTGGTCTTGGACTCCAGCTTGTCGATATGAGTCCTGGCTTGCATGCATTCCCCTTCATATTTGTCCCTCTCGAGCTCGGATATCATCAGCTGAGAGGAAAGTTCGTCCACTCTTTCGCTGTATTGCTGTAGCTTGAGGAGCGCTTGCATGTAGGCAGATTCCTTGGCTTCGAGTTGCACCTTGTAATTCGCCAATTCCTTGTGCAGGCCTTGAAGCTCCTCTTTATCAGTCTCTGTCTGAGATAGCAAACACAAGAAACACAAGTATGTCATCAGCGAACAACATCTTGCTGCATGCCATATGTATATGTTTTTTTTGGACTCATGAAGATGGATGTATCCAATAACATTGAGTGAAGAAGACAAGAAGAAAATTCAGATGTTTAAGCGTTCTTGATCAAATATGCCTCTCTGGTCCTCATAGTCAATTAACTAAGCCAGCATGAAATGTTTCTAGTTTCTCTCTATTTGACTCCGAAAGAAATTGCGAAACTATGGAATGAGTAAAACCTCTTCGCACCATGGCCCCCTGATCAGATATGATCGGCCACAATGCTCGTTTGCAATCTCGCTGGTGTCTTTTTAGTATCTACACAAAACAAAAAGTCCTCCTAGCTAATAACATGGACTCCTATTTGCTAACTCAAATTTCTCTCAAAGGACTTCTGACCAGTGAAATGTCGTGAAGCTAAACTACACATGGATTTCTACATCAGAACATATCACCATCAATCGCAGACCATCCTGTGAACAACCCAAAAAAGGATGGCAAAAGTATGAAGCATTTGCCTCGAATCTTACGTCGCGGCTGGTAGAACGGTGCTTCCTGTGATCGCCTTTCTCGCCAAACAAGGACAGCGCCACTTGGACCGGTTCGATCGGCTTCGTATCGATTTCGCCCATACTTTGCTATCTGCGAGTAGCTCCCGAGAAACTGAGTCTTGTCGCAAATTGCCCAAAGAAATCTGCGCCGAACAAATGTCGACATACAGTAAACATGAAAGAAAAACAATAATAACCAATCAGGCCAGCTAGCAAGTGCTCAAGTCAAAACGATGAGGTCTCAAATACATGACTCAATCAGAATCAAGAAACCATGCAAAATTCGCAGTTTCACGCAAATAAGACTTTGGGTGGGGGCTTCCACCGCCTCACCCGATCTACTTTTCGATTGTTTGGGAATCTCAATGCTACCGTATGGAAATTACAACAAAACACACGCCGCAAATGACAGCATCACGGCCGGGGAACCGTTCCTCCAGGGACCATCGAAGGGGCAGCTCAAGAAACAAGAAACCAAAAGTCCTACACTACACCCCTCCAAGTACTCATCGTTTTCACAGCCTAAACTCTAGTAATCACGCGATCTTGACTCAAATTATCGCGAATGCAACACGACCCTCAGGGGGACACGAGCTCCCGGCGCACTCAAAACCCAAGAAAGTCGAGACCCTTTCCGACCAACTTCACATTTCCACTCCCCGAATCTTGAAACCCATAAGGGGACACGAGCTTTCGGCGCACTCAAAACCCAAGAAAGTCGAAACCCACGCCCTCCAACTTCAACATTTCCACAACCCAAATCTTGAAACACCATACCTGACCTTTCTTCCCCGCCTCCAGGCGAGACGACAGCGCTGTGCTCTGCGGTAGAACGAAGAGAAGCCGCAGGAGATGAAGCAAATTCCGCGGGGAAAAGACATGGTTTCGGGAGATCGTGGAAACCGATGTGGGGAGAGCTTGTCGTGAACGAAGAGTTTCTGTGGGGCGGGTGTTTTGGAAACATCGATCGTAACCTCGCCCACGACGCTTCGTGGGGATCGACGTTTGCGGAAACAGGGCGCGAATGTTGTTGGCCTCCTTGTTTCGGCAATTCTCTTTCGTGTTTTTTCGCGGGTTTTTTATTTTCTCTTTGTTTTTTGAGATTTAGTAATGAAAACATCAAAATCATCAAAATCTACTGGGCAAAAGTCATCAAAAATCCTAAAGGCTACGTTTGGCCGTTCGTATTTCTGGTCAGGATAGGATTGGATAGGATAAGATAGGAAATCTAGGGATTTGGCCATATCCTATCCACTGTTTGGTGAAGTACGAATTTAAAGTCGGATATTCTCATATCCTATCATATCCTGCGTTTGGTAGAAACTGTATATCAATATAAATGACATATATACCCCTACGTAATGCTCATGAAATATTTCGATCTTATTACTATAAAAATAACACTCTCATACACAAATAAACTTGAAAATATGACATTTTATTAGATTTTCAAAATTTTTTGCAAAAATAAAATAAAATGAAAATAGAAACAAATGAGACAAGAAAATTGTCATCATCGTCTTTCTTCGAGCGCTTTTCCACAAACAAATCATTCTTCAGCTTCTTCTTAGGCGGAGGCTTCACCGCACCCGCACCCGCACCATTCTTCTTCTTATTAAGAGCCAGGCCACCCATTGATCTGCAAAAGCATCAAATACCAGGGTTTACACATAACAACGTCGGAAGAACATCTTAAATGGGACAACAAAGATGGAACTCGAATGTGAAATAAAAAAGCCATCTTTCGACATCAACTGAAGCCGCGAAGAGCGGAGAGACAAGCTCCAAGTTACCAAACCTCAACTCCACCGAACCACAGAGCATCGCAAGCACAAAACAAACAATCGAAACAGCGAGATGGTGGGTTTCTTCATCGTCCGCAATCGCGTTGTTTTTCGAAACAGACAAATCGAACAGAACTGAATCAGCAATTGCAAGGACGAAGGGCCACCGATTCCTTGCTCCACCGCGAACTAGATACCATTCGACGAACACGACGAACGCCGTTGACGACGGTGCGAAACTGGAGAGGATAGTAACAATACCTGAGCTGAGCAGAGCAGAGCAGTCGGCGCGCCTAGAAGAAGAAGAAGAAGAAGCGACGAAGAGGTTCGGAGCTTCTCTGATGTCGCCGGCGAGGTGTGGAAAAGCGCTTCTTCCCGGCAAGCTTCAACAGTATTTCCGCAGATGACCACTTGATCTCCTCCTCCTGCGGGTCCTTCCAATTCAACATCTCGACGAGCCACATGGGTGAAGAGTGCGTGAATGAAGGGTAGGGTTTCTAAAAATTTGCTTTTATGTGACGGATAGGAGAAATCCTATCCGTCCTTATCCTACCGCCTCCCCTCGAATTTTTTTATTCGGGTTATATCCCCTCTATATCCGACATTATACTATCCGGGACACCTACTAAACACGGGATAGGATAAAACATATCCTATCCCGAGTTTTATACGGACGACCAAACGCAGCCAAACTGTATTTACTGTGACACATTTATTCCGAACTTTTTTTTTCGTGATACCAAAAATCTCAAACTTATACCTGTGTGATACATTTACCTCTAAGCCCACATAATTTAAGTGAAATAAAAACGAGGTTGTTTTTTGTTGAAAAATCATCTAACGAAACCTTAACAAGGAAATAGGCACAAGTTTGTGGTTTTTATGTCATAAGAAAAATTTATGGTAAATGTGTCATGATGGGCATAGCTTAGACTTTTTATGTCATAAAAAAAGTTTTGAGTAAATGTATCACAATATGCATAATTTGAGATTTTTGTGACATTTCCCAAATATATATTTTTAGATTAATTCAAAAAAAATCCCAAATTAGTGCACATGATTTTTTTTAGGGTTAATACCACGAAATACCCCAAACTGATACACATGTGACAAATTTACCCTAAATTATTTTTTTGACCACAAAAAACTCCAAATTGGTACACTTGTGACAATTTTACCCCAAATTATTTTTTTGGCCACCAAAAACCCTACACTGGTACACTTGCAATAATTTTACCCCTGAACTAATTTTTCACCACCAAAAACTCCAAACTGGTACACCTGTGACAAATTTACCCTCTGTTAGTTTCCGTTAAATTTTATTGTCAAATTGCTAAGTTTAATGACACGTGGTAATTGACAAATATACCAATTTTGGGTTTTACCTCTCTGTTTGTCACAAATTTACCAATTTGTGATTTTTCATGATATTAATCCAATTTTGACAGACACTAACGAAGGGTAAATTTATCACAAATATACTAGTTTGGGGTTTTTAGTGGTCAAAAAATTAGTTTTGGTTAAAATTGTCACAGGTGTACCAGTTTGGGATTTTTGGTAATCAAAAAATTAGTTCGTGGTAAAATTGTCACAAATGTACCAGTTTGTGATTTTTGGTGATAAAAAAATAGTTCGAGGTAAAATTATCACAGATATATCAGTTTGGAGTTTTTCATGATATTAATCTTTTTTTTTAAGGTAAAATTAATTTGAAGTAAATATAATATCAGCAAACCGAATCGAGATTTTTTACGGTAATAACCATATTCTTTTACCTGGATATTCTCAAACGCAGAACAAAATGCTTCATACTAACGGCAATTTTCTATGGTTCTACCCATGCAGTTTATTGAAAAGCATTTTGACTCTTCACTGTGCTGTCATGTTGCTGTCATTTCATAAGTAGCATTGAAGGTAAATAGAATATCCCCCACACCTTTCGATTATTTATTTGATAAGTACGTTTGTCCTCCTTGTCTCAACGTAAAATTTAAAGATCGGTGTAATTGTGTGTCCTCTTGAGCACACCATTAGAAGTATGAACTCGCGTGCGGTGTTGATTAACCAGCGTGACGAGGCATGGGGATTCACTTGAATGAAAAATTATTTCATGTGAAAGTCACGTCACATGGCAGTGGCACATGGTATAACAAACCAATAAAAAATTATTAGTTCAAATTTGAAGGCTCCATTTATTTCGTGGAAAATGATTGATTTTGAAAAGATTTTCTTAAAAATGATCATTTTTATCTCTTAAAATAATTAGTTAATAAAAACTTTTTTAATTATCAATAATAATTTATATTTAAATATTTTTCAGAAAATGATGAAAATATTTTTTGTTCGTTCATTTTTGTAAGAGATACAAGAGATCATTTTTAATAAAATATTTTTCACATCAATCGCTTTCTGCAAACAAACGGAATCGAAGTTTCACATAAGATGACAAACATAGTATGCGAGTTGTGTAATTCGTTGGTCATATAATGCCTGTCGTGTGACCAACGCATAGATATTTGTCTCTTGAACAGTGAAAGATTAGTTGAGTATTTTCTTATAGGTTAGTCAATCCTTACTTTACACAAGAATAAAAGGCAGCACTCACAATTAAACAAAATAGTCTTCTTATTATGGAAAAATTACCAAAAGTAGTCATAAACCTATTGCGCTTGTGCCAATTTAGTTTCAAACCTTTCAATTTGGTCAATTTAGTCATTAACACTTTGACAATTTGACAATTCAGTTCTAAATTATTTAATAAATTGCCAATATAGTCCTCCCAAGCTAATTTTGACTAAAAATCACTATCGTAGCAGTCATGTCAACATCAGTCGTCCTATGTGGCACGAACAGTGCTGACGTGGATAATTTTTTTTTTCTTTTTTCTTCAAAGGGCTAGAAGGGCCGCCAACGATTGGGTAAGGGCCGGCAACCCACGTCGGCCCCTGGTTGAGGGGGCCATGGCCCTCACCGATTGCAAAGGACAAGCAAGGCCCGCGATGCCCTCGCTGTGGCCCACAAGAGCTTGGGCGGGGGCTTGCAACGCCCTCGTCAGCCATGGCGAGGGCATTGCGAGCCCTCGCCCAGGGATTAGCAGCGCCACCGACCCTATGTAGAAAAAAGAAAAAGAAAATAAAATAAAATCAATAAAAAAATTATTTCACGTCAGGCCAATTGTGCCACATAAGACAGTTGGCGCAAATTGGATCGCCACATTTGCAATTTCCGATCAAAATTAGCCAAAATTACTATATTGGTAATTCATTAAAGGTTTAGGATTAAATTAGTACATTAAAAGATTTATGATTGAATTGATAAATTTTCAAAAGATTTAAGATTAAATTGGTACAATTGAAAAGTTTACGACTAAATTGAAAGGAGATTAATGGAAAATTCTCAGGGAAGCAAGCTTGGAGAAATGCAAAATTCTCCTTCTCCACGGAGTCAAATTTTTAAGGGGGTTTAATTCCCAAACAAGACTTCTTCTTTTTTTTTTATCAGAAAGTGAATTGCTTCATTAAACTAGTCAAAAGTGATAGGGCTCGAGAAAGGGGGCTTCAGTACATAAAAGATCCCAAAGGGTCGGAGGGGGATAAAATCCAATTCAAAGGTAAATATTTTTTCTGTAGGCTTCAGTAATTCAATCTGCTACTTAAATTAGCCTCTCTAGAGGGCTACTTGAATATTTGAAAAGGAAAGTAACCTAGCTTTGCACTTCATGATAGGGGCGTGAGCCTCCCACGTGAACTGATCTGGACTCCTTAAAGCGTCGACAAGGTCTAAACTGTCAGTCTCTACAAGTACTTCTTCATGTCTAAGAGAGAGAAACTGACTGAGGGGCTTCAAAAAGAGCTTGAGCCTCTGCCATGGACGCCGAAGACACAGCCACCGTTCGTGCGGCTCCATCCAGCAATTTCCCCTTTGTTGGGAGTGCATTTTGGCATAGATTCCACATAAAAATTCTGATTCTGGGAGGAGTATGTAGATTCCATATATCTGTCCGTAGAGAACGAGGGGGTTGGAATGATGTTGACGCATGGATTTTGTTCTCTTTTGCCCCTTTCTCTCGGATGTAGTTGTATCCACTTTTAACAGTGTACTTACCTGTTTGTGTACCCGTCCATATGAGCTGGTCATTCTCAGTTTGAGGCTTAATTGGGATTGTGAGACCTTCGCGTACTATTTGCTCATCAAAGTGCTCTCTCAAAGCTACTTCATTCTGGCGATTTTCCTCCCTTAAGATAAATTCAGAGACAAGTTGTGGTTCGTCCCTTTTTGCAGGGCCTACTAGTGCTCCTCTCCTCAACCATTTATCTTCCCTGGTTTTAATTTTTGTATCATTCCCTACTGCCCACATCACTGATGGTGATATAGAATCTCTCCCCAAGAGCAAACTTTGCCAACCCCATGATGGGCGTTGTTCCTTTCCTGCTCGCCAAAAATCTCCTTGAGGAAAATAGAGTCCTTTGAACAATTGGCTCCGGAGGGAGGTCGGGCTGTTACTTAGTCACCAAGCCTGTTTTGCTAACATGGCTTTGTTAAAATCAAGTAGGTCTCGGAATCCCAATCCTCCCCTATCTTTTCGCCTCTTCAAAATATCCCATCTTTTCCAGTGAATTCCATTCTTAGCTTCATTTGTTCTCCACCAGATTGATGCTATTTTCTGCTCTATTGCTTTGCATACTGACACAGGGATTTTGAAAATGGACATGGCATATTGCGGGAGGGCTTGCACCACTGTTTTAATCAAGATTTCTTTCCCTGCTTTTGACATCAATTTCTCCTTCCAACCTTCAAGTTTTGCCGTCACTCGTCCCAAAATCCAGGCAAACATTTGTTTCTTTGATACTCCCCAATCCAAAGGAATCCCAAGATATTTCCCCGTTTTATCAAAAATAGGTACTCTTAGTTCCCTCGCCATGTTCTCTTTTAAGCTCTGAGGGCAGTCCCTGCTGAAGTAAATCCCAGATTTGTTCAAATTTACTGCTTCTCCAGAAGCTACACGATATTGGTTCAAAATTGCTGCCAAGTTTTGACATTCCAGAATATTCCCGTCTAGAAAGAAAATGGAGTCATCCGCAAAGAGTAAGTGAGAAAGGGTAGGACATCACCTGTTGAGTTTAATCCCTTTAATGCTGCCATTATCAACCGCTGTCTTCATGAGTATGGATAATACATTAGCCACCAGAATAAATAAGTAGGGGGATAATGGATCCCCCTGCCTAATCCCTCGTGTTGGCTGGAAGTATTGAAGTGGCTCTCCATTAAACTTGACACTAAACGAGACAGTTGTGACGCATTGCATTACCCAACCTACCCACTTTTCATCAAAGCCTATTTTAATTAAGCATGCCTCCAGGAAATCCCACTCCACTCGATCGTATGCCTTTTTCATATCAAGTTTCAGAACCGCTTGGAATTTCTTCTTTCTCTTGCGAATTCTAATTTGATGTAGTACCTCCTGCACAATGAAAATATTATCTTGAATTTGCCTACCCCCAACAAACGCACTCTGTTCTGTAGCTATCAAATCTGGCAACAATGGTTTGAGCCTATACGCCATCACTTTAGAGATGATTTTATAACCAAAGTTGCACAAGCTTATGGGACGATACTGGTCTAACCTCTCGGGATTAGGGACTTTTGGGATAAGTGAAATGTGAGTCTTGTTTAACTCTGGCTGCATGTATCCAGTACTGAAAAAGTCCTTCACCACTTTATAAACCTCACTTTGGATCTCCTCCCAGTTATTCTGGTAAAATAGCCCGCTGAGGCCATCTGGCCCTGGTGCTTTAGAGGCACCAAGTTGGAAAACTGCACTTTTTACTTCTGCCAAAGTGACATCAGCCAACAACAAATGGTTCATTTCTTCTGTCACCACTCGAGAGCATTGATCCAAGACCGGAGAAAACATCCGGGGGCTTGTAGATTGGTATAGTTCTCGAAAGAATTGCACCGTAGTTTCTTTTAGTAGGCTTGGTTCTTCAGCCCAAATTCCTTATGACATTTGCAACATTGAAATTCTATTTCTCTGTCGTCGCTGAATAGTGGTAGCATGAAAGAATTTAGTATTTTTGTTGCCCCATTTCAGCCAATTAATTCTTGATCTCAACCCCTAGTACATCTCTTCCTGTTTCCATAACTTCTCAATCTCCCCCTGTAAGTACTTGATCCTGTCCACTTCACTATACCTGTCAGTACAGTTTATGCTTTGTTGAAGTTCTTGCTTTAGTGAGTCTATTCTTTTCAATCCATTCCCGTAAGTCTTTTTACTCCACTTGGACAAGGCAATAGACACTGCACGCAATTTCACAACTAAATTCCTTCCTGCCTAATCAGGAGAGTTCCAAGTCTCTTTAATAACTGTTTTGCATTCATCATGCTCAAGCCAAAATGCCTCAAACTTGAACTGCTTTCTTCATTTCACTGGGTGGGCTTAAAGGATAATAAGATGGGCCTATGATCTGATCCTACGGCTGGAAGAGCAAATGCTTCTGCTTCAGGGAACATTAACCTCCATTCAATGGTACATACTACCCTGTCAAGTCGTTCTTTGATGAGTTCATCCCTATCCCTATTATTAGACCAGGTAAAAGCACATCCCTTACTCTCTATATCCATCAATGAGCATGTATCTAGAAATTTCTCGAAAGCTGACATTCTATAGTTCTCAGCCATTTGCTTCCCTGCTTTCTCCCAATGGAATAATACTTCATTGAAGTCCCCTAAACACACCCAAGGCAGCACATTCTTGGTACTTATCCATCGCAGTTCCTCCCATAGTTGAATCCTTTTTTGAAAGACATACGGAGCGTGAACAAAAGTGACTCTCATTTTCTTACCACTCCCCGTTTCTTCACATTCTAAATTGACATAGTCCTCTGACTGAGAGTCTATTTCCAGGACAACTCTATCATCCCAAAAGACAGCTAACCCTCCCACAGAACCCACAGGATTTACTACCATACAATTCTGGAACTGAAGTCTTCTTTTTATTCTCTGAATTACCACCTCTTTGTTTTTAGTCTCCATCAAGAAAACCACAGTGGGCCTATAGCGAGCCACTAGGGCTCTTAGTTCTTGAACTGTCAAGGGTGTGCCCAACCCCTGACAATTCCAACAGAGAAAATTCATTTTTCATTTGGTGGCTTATTAGGGCTAGCCACCAAAGCCCATATGTTGCTATCCTCTGTCATGTGAACTGGTGTTTCAAGTAATTGGGTCTCATCCAACCAATTGGGAGTTGGAGAAGGAGATTGATAAGGGCTAACCTTCCTCTGTTTTTTACCCGAGGGTGTCTTTGGTTCCTTGCTGCATTTACCTTTTAAGCTGTATGTGCTGGTCTGGTCTAGCAACTTGCCCTTGCCCTTTCCCTGGGTGGGTCCCGTGAGCAAAAGAGTTCCCTGCCTTGCATCTGAGTTAGCTGAATTCTGTGCAATGTTTTCTACAGTTTGAGCAAGCAAGGGTTCAGTTCCTCACTTTTTTGGATTTCCCAGAGGCATGCTGGGAAAGGGTATACAGGATACAGACCCCCTTGGGGTTGGCAAAGTATACTTATGGGAAGAGATTCTATCTCAGATTTTGCAACGTGGACTGTGGGAACAGGAGAAGCCACCAGCACTGGAGAGGACACATGGTTAAAAAGCGGAGTAATTGGAGGACTAGAAAAAAGAAAGATGACCCCTGTGTAGGTAGCTGAGCTTATAAACCAAGAGGAGAATTCCTGGAACGAACCTCTACTTCCAAATATTTTCGAAGAAGACACGGTGAAGGAAATTCTTGCCATTCCTCTTAGAACCCAATCAACTCCAGATAAATTGGTGTGGACATATTTATTAACAGGAAATTTCTCAGTGAAGAATGGCTACAAAAACTCACAGAGAAGAGAACAACCAAAAAATTCCAATGGCCTCTTCCTCTTTCACGGCTCCTCGGGATCTATGGAATAAGATTTGGAAAATGCAAACAATCCTTTAGATTAGAATCTTCCTATGTAATGCATGCTAGAATAATCTACCCACCGGTAGTGCTCTCATCTAAACACGCTTAATTTTAGAGTTATTATCGTTACGTCAAAAGACGCGTCTGTGAGTTAATTTCAGTTTGGTTCATTCCTACTCCCTTCGCCATTCTAAAATGATGCCAAGAGTCACTCCTTATCCAAACCCTCTGACCCTAGCGACCACTCTCGACCTCATTAGACCGGGTTGTTACAGAAAGCTCAACTGAAGGTGCGATCGCCTGCATCTGTCGAAACTCGGAGGGAGAAATTCATTTAAAAATGTCACGTCAGCATTTTTCATTAGACAAATTGAAGGTATTAACTTTAGGACTTGATTGAACAAATTTGACAAGTTTTAGGACTTGATTGCACTTTTTGAAAGTTTTAGGACTCAATTGCACTTTCGTAACAAATTTTGACTTCTAGTGAATATATCCCAAAAAGATCTATGCACCTTATGTTGCCATTCTTTTGATTGTGAGGAAAAGTTCCAAACTTTGTGCCTGATTCATGAGAATGATCAGTTGGGTATGTCAATTTTTCAAGGCATTCTCTTTCTTGTTACATCCTTTTTTTGCTGCTTCCTTTCCTCGATCCCTGGAATTGGTTGAACTTGCGACTAGTGTGTCCTCTCTGTTTCAGGGGATCACAGGGATATATGTGAAATGGAGCAGAAATACAGTTCAAGGTCAATGGTTGGTGAATTTTGAGCTGTCTGGTTGTTAGACATTCGATCTTGGAACTCGTAGTGCTATACTTCCGAAACATGTGGCTGCACTTGTTAGGCACCAAAAGGATCCCCTCAGAGCATTCGAGTTGTTCGATTCAGTTAGAAAAGAAGATGGCTTCAAGCGCATGTTGTCAACTTACTCATACATGATTGAAAAGCTTGGGTTTCATGGAGAGCTTGAGGCTATGGAGTATTTGCTGTCAGAGATTAGAACAAACATCAATGCTGTTTACTGGAAGGAGTCTGTCTATATTGGGGCCATGAGAAGTAGAGGAAGGGTATCTGTGGATGAGGGATAAAGGGATTGCTCCTGATGTGTACACCTTCACAATCAGGATAAAGACCTTTTGTTGGGCAGGCAGACCTCATGCTGCTCTAAGACTTCTCTGAAATATGACTCCTCAGGGTTGTGATCACAATGTTGTTGCATACTGTACTGTCCTTGGTGGGTTCTATGAACAGAATTATCGATGTGAGGCATATGAATTGTTTCTTGAGATGCTTAGTTTAATTATTCATCCTGATATTGCAATATTCCATAAGCTTATTCATATACTTTGCAAGAATGGGGACATCCAGGCAAGTGAAAAGCTTCTTGCCAATGTCCTGAAGACGGGATCCAGTCCAAATTTGTTCACATTCAATATTTTCATTCCGGGACTTTGCAGGAAAGGCGCTCTTGTTGAGGCTGTGAGGTTGGAAAGTATAACTGCAGAGGGTTTAACTCCACAGGTTGTCATGTATGACACTTTAACTGATGGCTTGTGTAAGAATTCTAGGGCTGTGGAAGCTGAAAGCTTTTTGAGTAAAATGGTGAATTGGGGGCTTGACCTAGACGACTATAGATACGACACCAAAATCAATGGATACTGCAAAGTTGGTCCGACAGAAATTGCAGATAAGATTCTCAATGATGCAATTTTGGAGGGATTTGTGCCAGATCAGTACACATATTGTTCTCTGTCAGCCAGGCTATGGCTTTGTTTAATGAGGTTTCACGAAGAGGAGTGAAATTTGATGTCGTTCTCTACAATACAGTGATCAGAGGCTTTTCCCAGAAGGGGCTTATAATGGAACTGAGATGTCCCAAAATTTAGTTATTAATGGACTTTGCAAGATGGGTTGCGTATCTGGTGCTTATGATGCTACAACCAGAGGGTACATCCCCGACATGTTTACTTTCTATACATTGGCTGATGACTGTCGTAAGCAATTGAAGTTGGATGGTGCAGCTAGAGAGAATGTGCTTTATGGTGTTTTTCCAGATGTGACCACATATAATTCTTTGTTGAATGGCCTATGCAACAAGGCTTCAAAGTTTGAACATGTGATGGAAATTTTCGACACGATGGTTGGGAAACAGTGCAACCATAAAATCATTACTTAACATATACTCATTGAGAGCATTATGCGAGGCTCGCAAAGTAAAGTAAGCTTTGGATTTTGCTTGATAAGATCAAAATAAAGGGGAATTGCACCAGATATTGCGAGTTGTCACACTGGTTAATGGGCTTTGTTATCATGGGGAGCTGCATTAAGCCTACAATTTTTGCAGGAAAGTGGAAGAGCATTGTAAGGTTTCTCATACGACAGCAACATAGAATATAATGATTAATGCTTTTCTAAGGAAACTACATATTCATCTGGCAGCGAAGCTTTTTCATGAGATGAGTGTCAAAGGTTGCCTGATGGTTTCTCTAAAACAGGGAATGTTGACTCTAAATATAACCTTCGACTCGAAAAAATTGATTAGCGTTTCTTCCAAATGATAGTAAGACCCTCTACTTGAAGGGCTCAAATATCAAAACAGAATATTTCATGGACAACATATTGGAAAAATAATACATATAGGCTCCGTTTGTTCTATAAAAAATGAATGATTTAGAAAACGTTTTCCTAATAATGACGGCTCATGTAGCTTGAAAAAATTAGTTAATGAAAAAGGTTTTCATTATTAACAATAATTTATGTCTAAACATTTTCGGAAACGATGGATATATTTTTCGTTCAACCATTTTCGTAAGCGATATAAACAATCAAATTAAAGAAAATTTTTTCCAAATCACGTATTTTATTTATTTATTTCCCTCAATACTGTTATGATTTTGTATGGATCACGAGCCGTGCGGTGCTGGTGCTCCATCTTGCATTGCCATTTTTTGTTCATCGGAGTCACATTTGTGGTGCCAGAATCTACTGCTGCTTGCTCTTCCTCCTCCGACAGAATTCTTCTGGCCTTATCAAACTTCTGTTCTTTTTTTTTTTTGGTCGAAGATCAAACTTCCATTTGATTTGCTGTTATTCGATACAACGATCTTGTGAGAGAAGAGAGACGTTAAAAATTGAAGATTTTTAAGAGGAGGTTTACCGAAGGAAGAGAGTGTTGATGTTTAGAGTCAAAGAGGAAACAACGATAAAGTGTTTATGGTGGCTTAACCCCAATTACAATTGTATGGTATGTATTTATAGGAGTGATGAATTACAGAAAGGGTACAGATAGAAACATAATTACGGAAATACCTCATAATACATATAAATTACACATTAATACTTGTCACGACCTAACCCTCGAGGGCCTCCTCGGGAGAAATAGGTTTAGAGGTACTTTATTGGACTCTCCCTAAGTCCATACCTCGCGTGACATTGGTTGTTTAAATCTATTTGTTCAATAGGAGTCGCCACTAGCTACGATTAAAGGTCAGCTAGAAACCTTAATCGAGATACGGGAGTGTTATCTCGAAAACATACGCAACCAGAGATTCTTAGGGATCGGGGATTTGATTACACTAGTTTTTCGACTAATGCCCTTTCGGTACCTAAACTCGACTATTTGCTAACCAAAATATCACGGCAGTCTTTACTAATCGAGAATTTTGAATTTTCATCTTAACCATTCTAAAAGGGGAAAACACCAATCAATGAATTTAAAGTACACAATCAAATGAAATCAAAATGAAAGTGCACAAACAGCGACCTAGCATCGTCTCTAAAAAAAACAATAAAAAATCCCTAAGGTAAAGCCCTAAAGGCTTATGCAACTTTGGGTACAAATTTTATTCAAACCTAAAGTGTTTATTAAAAGCCCTAAACTAAGTGAATTCCAATTTTTTTTAGCTTTTCTCACACATTTTTTTATTTTTTTTGAATTTTCTGATTTTTATTTTTATTTTTATTTTTATTTTTTATTGGGAAATGGATTTCAGACCGGGTCTAAGAACCCGGTTTGATTCATTAGTCCGACCTGAACCCTGATGGTCCGGGCTTGGTCAATTCGGGCAAGTTCTTGGGCCCAATAGGAATAAGGCTCAAACTATCAAATTTCAGTTTTTATCAACCTAGGCCCAATTCAGCCCATTCAATTGACTTGACAGACGGCCCTTTACACTTTTGCTCCGCCTAAATCACAACGTGACTCGGTCTCCATTATAATCAACTCTTTTTACTTCTTTTCTATTTCCTTTTTTTTTTATTTTTCTATTTTTTTATTTCCTTTTGGCCTTCCCCTCTGCATAGTCTTCTCCCTCGATGTCTTCTTCACCGAAAGCTCACTTCCCTCACGCCTTCACTGAGAACAATTATTCCGGTTAACTCCGTAACACCGTCGGCCTCAAACTTCAATCGTCAACATCAATAATCACGGCCAACCAATAACCACCGGCCACTAGTTGGCCGACGGTTTCTACATCGTCGGACTAACTCCGGCGAAAAATTCTCAAACTCAAAAATCACGTAAACTGAGACTCAATCGCACGTAGGAGATATATATGCAAATCAAATCGTGAGAGATGGACTAACTGAAGCGGCCTCTAACCGCAGGCATCGCTCCGGCAAAAGTGGAATGAATCTCCGTCGAAGGTTCCATCAATGGCCGACTCGGAAAAATGATGAATATGCCATAAAATGAAGGAAAAACACAGATTCAGTATTGATTCATCAAAATAGGACCTAATCAAGCACAAAGGACGAGTTCCATGCGTTGATTCCACAAAAATCAATTCGGTTCTTCTTTCAAGCATTTTGTCGAACATATGATATGCAACTTCAGAAACGATTTTCCGACTTAATTTTCGAACGATTTTCAGCGTAAACACAATCTATAAAGTTCTGAATCACCAATATATTCCACAAATCCGCTTCAGTTTCACATGATTTTGACCAGAAATCATTCATTCAATTCGGCGTTCTATGCCTCAGTGTAACAGAGAAACAAATCATTGTAAGCAGAAGGTTTACCTGGTTCGTGGACAACGCCTTCACGGTAGTCTACGAACGGGACCGCAACAGAACTTGGCGTCTTCCGACACGGCGAAGAAACGACGAACAAGAATGCCTCGTACGTCCGAAGCGACGAACAACTTGGAGGTTACGGATTCCGAATCCAAGGAAGGGAAGAGATGGATCAAAAGGTAGGGTAGCAGCTGCAAGAGTTCTCCGACGATGGTGAACAAACGATGGAAGAAGGGGAAGAGATTTGCCGGAATTCTTCTACGCGAGTAGAAGAACCGAACGCTCTCTTCTCCAAGACCCTTCTTCCCCGACGATTTTTACTCCTTTCTTCCCCCCTTCAGTCGAGTGAGTATATATCTTCCCGCGCCTCCACTGTGCATTCCGTTTTTCTGATAACGACTTCTACAGCTCAGCAAGCATCTAGAACCTTACCTGGATATGCTTCCGTCACATGTTTGTTTCGTCACCGCCATTCTCAATCACAGATGCACCCTCTGTTCATCACCATCTTCTGCTCACAAGTGTGAGCAAGCAAAAGGGATCACAGGCGTGAGATTGGGGGTACAAAGAAATGGGCTCAAAGGAAATAAACTGGGCTTAAAGACAAAAATAAAGAAAAGAGAAGAGGGGGTCGAATTCGGCCCAAACGAGGAAAGAAAGATAAGCCAAACGCGCAGTGGGCCGAATGCTCATATTAGGCCCAATCGGTCTTGGTAGGTCAAGAGTTTTTTTTTTTTTTTTTCGAGGTGTCAACAGCTGCCCCTCTTTGAAAGGAAGCTCGAAGAGGTTCTTTTCAAAGATAAGGTGACACCCGAAAACTGTTGACATATAATGAAGATTCATATGGACTTGACGTTGAAAAATCAAGGTTTAAGGAAAAACCCGGAACCTTTTGAAATCAGAGTTTAAGGAAAAACCCGAAATCATTTTGAAATCAGGGTTTAAAGAAAAACCCGGAACCTCTTGAAATCAGAGTTTAAGGAAAAACCCGGAATCATTTTGAAAACAGGGTTTAAGGAAAAACCCGGAACCTTTGGAAATCAGGGTTTAAGGAAAAGCCCGGAACCTTTTTGAAATCAGGGTTTAAGGAAAGACCCGGAACCATTTGAAAAATCAGGGTTTAAGGAAAGACCCGGAACCTTTTGAAAAATCAGGGTTTAAGGAAAAACCCGGAACCTTTTTTGAAAATTAGTGTTTAAGGAAAAACCCGGAACCATTTTAAAATCAGGGTTTAAGGAAAGACCCGGAACCATTTGAAAAATCAGGGTTTAAGGAAAAACTCGGAACCATTTTGAAATCAGGGTTTAAGGAAAAACCCGGAACCATTTGAAAAATCAGGGTTTAAGGAAAGACCCGGAACCGTTTTGAAATCAGGGTTTAAGGAAAAACCCGGAACCTTTGGAAATCAGGGTTTAAGGAAAAGCCCGGAACCTTTTTGAAATCAGGGTTTAAGGAAAGACCCGGAACCATTTGAAAAATCAGGGTTTAAGGAAAGACCCGGAACCTTTTGAAAAATCAGGGTTTAAGGAAAGACCCGGAACCATTTTGAAAATCAGGGTTTAAGGAAAAACCCGGAATCATTTTGAAATCAGGGTTTAAGGAAAGACCCTGAACCATTTGAAAAATCAGGGTTTAAGGAAAAACCCGGAACCGTTTTGAAATCAGGGTTTAAGGAAAAACCCGGAACCTTTGGAAATCAGGGTTTAAGGAAAGACCCGGAACCTTTTGGAAATCAGGGTTTAAGGAAAGACCCGGAACCTTTTGAAAAATCAGGATTTAAGGAAAAACCCGGAACCTTTTTGAAAATCAGGGTTTAAGGAAAGACCCGGAACCGTTTGAAATCAGGGTTTAAGGAAAGACCCGGAACCTTTTGGAAAATCAGGGTTTAAGGAAAAACCCAGAACCTTTGGAAATCAGGGTTTAAGAAAAAACCCGGAACCTTTTGAAATCAGGGTTTAAGGAAAAACCCGGAACCATTTGAAAAATTAGGGTTTAAGGAAAGACCCGGAACCGTTTTGAAATCAGGGTTTAAGGAAAAACCCGGAACCTTTTGAAATCAGGGTTTAAGGAAAAACCCAGAACCATTTGAAAAATCACGTTTTCACGTAGAGAGACGTGCCTCATGTAAAATAATTCTGAATCGTTAAAACTCACCGTAAC